GGGAAAGAGAAAACCAAAGAAATATCAAAAACAGAAGGTGAAATTGATTCAAGGCAGTTTAAGACATCATATTCCTACAGTATTCTTTTAAACATGCAACTATGCCTAGGTCGAGACATTCATTATCAAAGCGTGCTTTCTGATCAAAAAAGTAGAGAATACCTGGTATAACATCATTAATATGCAAAAGTAGTGTACTTTCAACACTCGCAAAACTGCACAGCTGTATTCCGTTATATCTTCCATCCCAGTTTCCAATAGGATTATCCTAAAATTAAATAAAAGAAATCTTACATGTTTCCCAAGAAAAGATTCGTCTCTTACAGAATACAAATATACGACTTCAGGAACATGTTTGACTATTTATGGTAAGAAATAGGAAATGAAAAGTTTAACAGTAACTACTTTTTCCTGTAAAAAATTCTGTATTTACAACAAACATTATAATCCTTTAAAAAACTGCAAATATACAAGCTTTCCTACTTTAACAAGCATTCCTCTACTAAAAATGTATCAAACGTGCATACGAATGAACAGCTCCAGTCTGTTATTATCTAACAGCTACAAACAATCAAGAAAATGAAAGCATCTAATCTACCAAAAAAAAAAAAACCCACACAAAACAAAAAACCAACCCACACACCTTTAACTACCAAGAGTTTGGAAGCAGTTCATTTTAAAATTTCCCAGGCTGCTAGAAATAATTTTAAATAACAAGTAAATTTCACATTTTCTAGAAAGATCAAATGTTGTTCTTAAAAACTCAGTGTCTTTACTATAGAACAAAGTCATATGAACCAACAAATACATGAAGAAAAAAGCTAAAAAGCAAACACTAACAAAGAAAAAGGATTCCAGCCTTAAAAAAAAAAAAAAAAAAGACAAAGCCAGTCTCACAAGACAAACATTCAACTCTATTACTTGAAGACAGATATCTAACATTGCAAGTAGCTCAGTGGAGGCTCCTCAGAGTAACCACAGTATTTCTCCTAGGCTGTTCAGCATCAAATAGGATACTATTTGCCTGAGGTCAAAAACAATTACCACAGGACATTTCTGAACACAAGTGTTTATTTCCCATTTTTATGTCAGCCTCCACTGAAATAGCTTGTGAATAATGTCTCTTCTTCTATATTGCATGTAATATACTAGCTAACACACATGCAAAAAAATTATTAAAGTCAGATTATTTTCTTACCATGTCCACTCCAACAACGTATCCTAAACTTTCGTTTCCTGGTAAGACATCACAGAATATAACTGTCCCATACTCTATACTCTCTCCTATCTTCAGAGAAACTCTGGAGTTGATCTCCAGAGGAGGAAGTTCTACCTGCATTGTGTCAACTGGAGCTGCATAATCACTTTCCAGTTCATTGTCATCGTCTTCCACCAGCTCCAGTTTGTCCAAAGCAACAAAAACCCCACAATCCTCATCACATCTGAAAAGCTGCTTGCCTTGGTACTGTCCATCAGTAAAGCCTTGGCCACGACCTTCTTCCTAAGTGTCAGAGGGAGAAGAAAAAATCCCAAACAGTGTATTTTGGGTAAAAGCAGGCTAGTATAAAGAACAGTAGAAAAATACTTTGCTTTGGAGAAGCCACTGTAAGAATTTGCCTGACTAACTATCATCAGAGAATAAGTCAGAATTTGTGACAAAAAACACATACTGTCCGTCTTAACGAACAAATGGTAAGAAGCCACTAGGATCAGAGAGCAGCTACAGGCAGAAGGCTTTTCTCACCCCTACTTGGAGAAGCATGCTTTCTTCAGCTGCAAGTCTTGGCTTCCATCATCAGTTATTGCCAGATCAAGGCAAGACTACGTCATACTATACACGAATGCTAAGCATTCAAAAATGCCATTTAGATAGTAAATAAAGGGAACAGATTTTCAGAAGTGCTCAGGTCTGATATTCCCCAAGGCTCTTAGTGTGAGAATCTGCAAAAAGTTTAAAGAGGACTTTGAAAAATACACTCGTAACACAAGAGTGGCACTCTCCTGAATCTAACCCTTCAAAACTTAGGCTTTACAGACCAGACACTAAACTTCACAGAAATACCTCACTGGGAACACATGACAGCCCCATTGTCTAATTTTAACTAATTGCCTTTTGACCTCCAGGGCCCCCTACAAAAAAACAGCAACCCTAAAATCTAAACGTACATTTATGGATAGTATCCTGTACATGCTTGCTGCCACATGTGGGGAAAACCAAAATACTCAACCCCTTCACATAAGGGATCTGAGAGTCAGGTATTTGCCATGCGCAAAGGGATTAACAGAGACTATTAGTGAAAAGAATAAAGGTGACACAGTTTTAAGGTGTGCCAATGCTTCTATAACTTATTACGACTACCTCTTTAAATAAAACTATTTTAGTTTATCTTATAAAATGAATATAGCATGTTCCTCACAAGCAAGAAACTTACCAGCAGTTCTACTCCAAAGTATATCCCTGTTAGAGACCTTTCTTGCAACAGGGGTCCCCTGAAGCGAACAACTCCAGGAAATTTGTCATCTCCTGATCTCAGCTGTACTCTAACAGTTGAGCCAATATCTATCTGGACACCTTTAGTTAACCTGCTTTTGCTTTTAAACAGGCTGTATCTTTCCTCACAGTTAGTAATGGCCAAAAGCAACTCAGCTAATTTTTCATTTATTTCTATAACATCCTTCTCATCCACAAACAGGATTGCATGAGGTTGTTCCAGAATCTTTAATCCAATCTGTAATTTCTTGCCTTTACAAGGAATATTTCTGGAGTGCCCAACAGAAGAACGGTCTTGAAAGAACTGCCCTATGCTACCTTTGGGCACTTTCAAGAGCTTCTGAGTCTGCTTGTCTATGACACTGCATTCTTGGAGAAGCAAGTAAAAGATACGTTCTTCCCAATAGGATGAACTTGCTTTTTCTTGACTCCATAGGCCCGAATTCATTGTGATTAAAACTTCAAAAGTTGTGTAGATGCTCCCAAGAAGAAGGAAAATAAAGCAGCTGTTGATCTACTTGCAATGAATTTTAACAAAATTCTACTGGAAGGTCCAGTCTTTGTTTAATGGTTCAGTATTCATTTTGAAAAGAATCAAATCCAGAGCAGAAAGCCTAGGATAAACAAAAATAAAGTTAATATTAAGTTGGGGAACTACAGTTAGTGTTAAGTAAAATAACAGAAAATCATTTAAATCTGATCAGCATCACTCCTCATATGCAATAAAAATACTTCATTGAGATCTGAGACAGTGAATACAGTCTCACAACAGCTAGAGTTCTGTGGATCATGCACATACCCATTCCTACTTATTATTGCTGTTTTTTTAATTTTCCATTTCTAATTCCTTGAAGCAAGGGGCTATGGAAAAACTGTAATGAACTCTAATGAAGTAGAGCAACCATATATAAGTGAAAAGGAAAGAAATCCTAGTTTCAGAGGAACCAGGAAAAAGAGTCTCCTTAAGTTTACAAATAATATTTTATGGAATCTTCCCGCTATGAAGACCTTTTCCCATGCTTAATGACTGTCAATTTTTGCCAAAGATGCATTGTATCTGCCATCCTAAACACAGCATTTTAGTGTACTGAAGTAGAAAACTGTGTCAACGTAACAGAGGATCAAAAATGGAAAGCCAGGAATTTGATATAGCTGTTTCTTTAAATAATAGAAATGGGTTATTCCAGTAAGCAATAAACAAAGTATATGCATAAAAAAAAGCATCTGCACTGCAGCATCCAATTCTGAAAACAAGTGCAGAAGCTTTCCTTTTTACCATTTTAGAATGACAATCCACTTCAACAAAGTAGGAAATAAATCAACTTCAGATATATAAATCCTCTGGAAGAAATCATCTTAGTAAGCTATCATCCTAAGAATTACAGGTCACAGTGAATAAACTAAACAAGAACAATCTGGAAATATTTCATTGCACATGGTAACAGATATGCAAAAGCGGGGGGGGGGGGACCCTTACGGTTTACAGTATGCTGGTTATGTGAAGAAAATTCTGCAGTACTTTAACAGGGATTGTTCATTTTTCCTTAGAGAAGATGGGAAAGGATATCACACGAACTAAGAACATATTATCAGCTAAAGTGTCCTGTTACTAATTTATATTCAGTTAAAGGAAGAGAATTGCAGTGATTATTGGCAGATTTATCTTCAGTACATAAAAGCAAATACTCTTTGTCCTTGTGCCTCTTCTCATTACCCTCTTCCCCCACATCTTTTCTTTGACAGCATTCAGTCAAATGCTGCAAATCTTCTACTAGCTTTCCTACTCAGTTTGATCCAATCCAGAAGCTATTGGGAAGCAAAGGAAGACAGTCATATTGTAATTGCTTCCATCTCCCGTTTAAAAGAGTATTTAACAAAATTCTTTCCCCCAAAAAAGTAGTAACAGCCTCAGAGGATTTGAAATTTAAGAAAAGTTACATCTTTCAAGCATTACGAATTCAAATATTTCTATGCTGAACTGCTAAGTCTCCTACTGCCACTCTTGTACGATACAGCCATTCGGGTCCTGAATATGCATGAGTTTCATCTTCACAGATGTTACACATGGGTGTTGGTGTCATCACGCTGACGCTGCAACAACTTGTAGAATCAATGTGTTTTAAAGCATTTGCATTTTCAAAATAATTCACATCTGAGGCACAGCATCTGGACAGTTTCAGATCTCATTAAGATATCTAGTAAACAGATTGTGAAACTGTTTTCAAGTTTTAAAATATTTATCTTCCTCAGTTTTATTTTAGAGACACATAATCATCAAGAAAGATAAAGTCCATACAACAAACATCAGTATTAGTTTGAAATAATATTTTATACTCGAGTTGAGAAGATCAACAACAGACCTATTTACTTTTTCCCTGTAAAGAGAATACGTTTAAGAGACCATAAGCTTTCATACATCTACTCAGACATTAAGAATCATTGGGGAGGGTGCAACAGGGGGTAAGATAGGGTCCTGTTCTTCACAGTTGCCTTTTATGTTCTCACCTTTCAAGGGCTGATGCACTTAACCTCCCTTTTTGCAAGCCATTCCACAAAGTTAATCAACTCCCAACACACTGCAAACTCAAATACCTCTGACATTACAGGGGTCACAGCCTCATCTAGTTCACTTGTGGAAACAAGTAATTTACATCTGAGTATGTATGGAAGCGGGATATTAATAGGAAAGTCTGTTCAAGAGCTTAAACAAAAATAAAGATGAATGCATCAAGTGAAGTCTTCTTTGCAGCTATTAAAAAAAAAATTATAGTCTGCTTGCTGGTCCACTGCTACAATGTTATATAATCTTAATGTGCTTAGTAGCAATAAATTCAATGGGAAAATGTTAACAGCTGCAATTAGATGATATAATGATAACTTCATAACGTCTGTGGCCAACCTTTCAAAATGCTAGTTATCCACAGGGATGTTAAGTGCTCACTAAACGTAGTACCAGAAGTTTTTCCATTACAACAGCAAGGTTCACTACTGCTATATAAAAAGCCTTCCTTAATGAACTTATTTACCACCAATTTCCACCTCCCAAAGACAAGTATATGTAGGTCTAACTACAAATTTAAATCTTTTTTTTTTTTTTTTTTAAATCATGCAAAAAATAAATCACTGTCTTAACAGGAGAAAATCTTCCTGGAAAAGGATGCTAACTTCTATCAATATGTCAGAAGTATATATACACACAAAAAGCTTCACTGATTTGAAGATATTTTTACATTTTTTTTTCAATGGAATTGGTTATACTGTGAGTAAAGTACATTCAGATCACTGAACATACAGTATACGTTTGTCAGACAAAGACCAGAAAACACTATCAGACCCCAGTACGAATTAATTTGGGAACTAGACCAATTACGGTTAGCACCAAGTTATCATTATACTACACTACATAACAGTGACTATCAAGCCTCCTGCGTACCAGGGAGTACATGACCATCACCATGGACCTGTAAGCGTCAGGCTGTTCATTCATGTTCTTCTACTCCACCTACTACCTGAAACATTTTTGTGCCGAAGTGATTTCGGGAAACAACAGGCAAAACAGAACTATGACTGCAACACTGGATATTCTGAAAAGCGTCAGAGGTAGGCCACAATAAGCTGCCTGACTCCAAAACTTCCCTAGCTTCCTTTTTTGCACTGCCTGAGTCACTGCCATTGCTGCCGAGGGTCATCTCACCACGAAGAGGTTTGTTCTGAAACACGAGAACTTGGTTTCTACCCTGCAATAGCCTTGTATGAACCAAGCAGATGTTTGAACCAGCTATTAGGTTTCAATATGAACATGCAATTCTGTAGCCTTGATTCAGAGTATAAAACAAAGAGGCTACAATAACCTGTTCAAATTGTTTCTTATAAACCTTCCTCCTTAAAAGTTTTAAGCAACTGAAGAGCAAAGTAATCTTCTTGAACAGCCCGAAAAAAACATTTTCCAAGAGATGAAGGTAAACTAGCAGTAAGTAAATACTGCTACAACTTAAGAGATACAGAATTACATAATTGCAATACAAGCCAAGAGAGGGGGGGAAAAAAAAAGAAATTCTTTAAGAACAGGTTAAAATATTACTTAATATAAATAAACACACATTGGTATCACAATTTCTAAAAGAAAAGTGCAGTTAAAAACTCTAACAATGCCAATGAATTTTGACTCTTACAAGGTTTTATCGTTTTGATATAAATAATCGATTTTAGAGGAGGAATAAAAACAACTATCAATTGCCAAAAGATTACTGCGACATTTACTAGATTTTATCAAGTTCGTGTAATCAGCACTTGTTCTGCCGACAAGCCTCTTCTCAACGCGACACCAAGTCCGCTGCACAAAACAAACTGCACACATTCATACCGTGAAACGAAAACCAAACCGGGTTTAGCTGTGCTCCGTACCCAACAGAAGCGCCTGAAGACAAGACCGACGTACCTGCCGGCGGCCTGACACGGTGAAGCGCGACGCACAGCTCGCCTGCAAGTCACAACGCCCAACGCAAAGCTAAGTTTTCGAAAACGCTGATTTCCCCCCGCCCCCAGTTTTCGGAATCTTCCGCCCTTCTCCAAACGTTCACGAGCCAGAGAGGGAAGCTGCGGGTCACTTTTCAAGCAAGAGCAGCGGGAGTTAACGGGGCACCGCAGGGAATTCACGGCGGGGCCGGAGCAGGAGCCCC